ATGGAGTGCGGAGTCAAACTAACCAAGTATGACAAAGGAGAAAGCGTAGATCCAACATTTTTCAAAAGCCTAGTTGGAAGCTTGCGCTACTTGACTTGCACAAGACCAGATATTCTCTATGCTGTCGGATTAATCAGTCGCCACATGGAGAATCCCATAACTACACATTTGAAAACGGCCAAAAGAATTCTTCGATACCTCAAAGGTACTGTTAACTTTGGCTTGTTTTATTCAAGTTCTGATAACTACAAACTTGCTGGATATAGCGACAGTGATTGGGCAGGAGATTCCGACGACAGAAAAAGCACTACTGGATTTGTGTTCTTCATGGGAGACACTGCATTCACATGGATGTCGAAGAAGCAACCGATTGTCACTCTCTCTACCTGCGAAGCTGAATATGTAGCTGCTACTTCATGTGTCTGCCATGCAATCTGGCTGAGAAACTTGCTGAAAGAATTAAGAATGCGACAAGAAGAGCCAACAAAGATCTATGTTGACAACAAGTCTGCAATAGCTCTAGCAAAGAATCCAGTATTCCATGACAGGAGCAAGCACATAGATACCCGTTATCATTTCTTAAGAGAGTGCATTGCAAGAAAGGATGTGCAAGTGGAATACGTGAAGTCTCAAGACCAAGTTGCCGACATATTCACCAAGCCACTCAAACAAGAAGACTTTGTCAGACTAAGAAACTCAATTGGCGTCACAAGACAAGATTAAGGGGGGATGTTGAATTGTAATCTTGTCTTGGCCCAAAGATAATTGATCCGGCCCATACACAAAGAAAGATCCATGCACATGCTAGAGAATTCTAGCAAAGTTCAAGTTGGTGGAAGAGTCTAGAAGAATGGTGAGGATTCCACCAACATACAAGATTAGTGTAGATAATTCTAGCTTAGGAAGGAATTATCTAGATATCTCTAGCATGATGTTTTCATGCTTCTCCAAGGTTCCATCCATGCCTATAAAAGGAGAAGGCATCCACACCATTTGAAACAACCAAGAGAGCAAGTAGCAAGAAGTGAGAGTGTCAAGTAAGAAGTAAGAAGAAGCAACAAAGCTTCTAAGAGTGTTTGAGTGTTTCCTTTTGAACTAAGTTTGTGAGTGAATAAAAAACCTTGTGTAATACTTTGAGAATTCTTTCTTTCTCTTGCCTATCAATTCCGCTGCGTTACATTTTTCTTTGTGAGATAAACATCTCCAGAGTAGTGAAGCATTTTTAAACCCCCAACATAAACTGTAATACTACTATCGGTTTGTTTGTTTATAAGTTTTTATGTATAAGACCATTACCAAAGTAAAAAAGGTATGTGCATTTGCCTCGCAAAGAAATAGTTTGTGTAATACCATTTATCAGCAAAGTTAAAAAGGTATGTTCATTTGCCACATAAAGAATAGTTATAGGCTCGAAGCAACTGTGGTTTTTCCGATGGGAGTGCTCTTTGTGGTTTTCGCTTTCTTAGGTTTTCTCACAGTTTATCGGCTACCAATAAGAGTTTCATCACCGTTCACCAACCGCTAAACTGGTACTTTTTTGGGCCATCCCAGAATCCCAGAAAGCTCATATCAGGTACTTCACTTCCTAACTTTTTTAACTTATCATCTGGTTTCCCAGAATTGATAAAATTATAGAGGAATAGAAGAATCAAGTCTTAACCTTTAATTTAGATCCGCATCCATTTAATTGACATATACAATTAATGCATGCATTCTGTTCAACTTTGATTTCTCTGTGAATTTAAAGAAACATAAATCTCATATTTCCTATGAAATATTAAGCACTATGATCTCTTAGCTATCCAAGTTACAACATTGGTGCCGTGTTTTTTAGTATAGCTGCTACGGCATACAAATGTGTTTGAAGTCATTGAAGTCAAAGGGTCGAGCGGATGTTGAAGATAGGATCGGTGATACCAGATGCGTTACTTTGTCACATACTTCCATTTCTCGAAAGAAATGCTGTAAGCACCAGCATTTTGTCTAGGAGATGGAAGAATGTACGGGCTTCTCTTACCAATCTAGACTTCTGCCACACAGATATTCCTAAATCTCGTGGTTTCATGCTTCCGTTGAGCAGGTACTATCCTTTCACGACTCATCAGACATTCAAAAATTTCGTCTTCACAGTGATTGTCCTCGGAAATCATCAGTTCCTCTTGTTTAAAGGGTTGGATTCGCAACTGCTATTAGGCATAATGTTGTTGAGCTTGATCTTTCCACTGGTCGGCACCAAATTTTGAAGTTGCCTCAAAGCCTTTTCACTTCCAACACACTAAAACGGTTTTGAAGCTGGGGTCAGATTTTATAACCAGTTTTCCTACATCAGGGTGCTTCCCAAGTCTCAAGGTCCTTCAAGTTAGATTTAGAGATCTAGATACTGATGAGTCAATGTGTGAAGTTTTCACGAAATTCCCTGTACTTGAAGATTTGGTTATAGAAGGAACCCGTCGATATGGTGTAATTTTCGATCTCAACATCAATGCTCCCGAGTTAAAAAGGTTAAGGATAGGCTTGGAGTGTAATGATTTTGAGGTAGATGGGGACAACTTTTTTATTTTTGCTCCAAGGCTTGAAAGCCTTGATCTCGAGGAGCATAGTTACTCAAATTACTTTTTTGGAGAATGCTAACTATCTATTTAAAGCCAATATTGACCTAGATCACCACTATGCAAATGCATTATCACCCCGGTTTGCTGGTTGTGCAACTGTGCTTTTGGCAGGGATTTGCAAGGTTAAGCATCTATACCTTTCAGCTCATCTTTTGGAGGTAAGTATATCCGAACTCCTTTCTTTTACAGTTGTAAAAAGGAAACATAAGAGGTAATTTCGAAGGATGGAAGAGTTGTGGCGTGAGGCATTCATGCTGGCTTATGATTTTTAATTTTTTTTTCAAATTTAGACTTAATAAATTTGCAGGAATGAAGAAACTAATTAAGTAGTACATAATTAGGTTTGGCTGCTTTGGAAAGCAAATCAAAAATAATAATTAAAATAAAAGAACAGATTCGTAAATGAATAAGAAGTTTACCGTCTGTATTCGCAAATGTCCCTCCATGATATACCAAAGCACGTCAAGGAAAAAGACATCCTTGCATCCTCTACTTTTCCATATTTTGCCCCACATCTATTGTTCTGATTATTCTTTATTTGTTCTAAACGTAGTGTTTGCTACTTGCCTTTTTTCTTATTATGGAAATTTATGATTTGCGATATTATATAGTGCATGAGCAAATTCTTAGTTTTCGGCGCGAGTTTATCTTAGATCAATGCTCTCTCTTTCATGAAGCCTTGCTTTCTGCCCGCTTTTGATAATTTTAAGCACTTGGAGTTTGCTTTCTATGAATTCAAATCACTGGATAGTGCTAATAGAGTTGCTCAGGAGAACAACAAAGCTGGAATATCTTGCCCTACAACTTCATGATGTAAGCTGTATTTCCTCGTCTGCTACGCAATATCTGCATGCTGCTCCTAATGATTCTCATTTTATTCTTTCTTTAAATTAATGACTGCCAGGATGTTGCCAGTGATAAATATTGTGGATACCCAGAGCGTGAATTGAGTCTACCCGAGTTTGTGCCTGATCTGTTTGTTATCACACCTCAAGACCATCTCGATAGTGGGATTCTAGGGAAGGGAGGATGAGATGGAAGCGGCAAATTATTTGTCAAAAGTTGGTGCAGTTTTGCATAAGATGATTATTAAACTTGGCATTGGATCTCAAGAAGAGGAAGCATAGGTTAAAGTTTGAAGGTTTCGAAGGGGTTCAACAACTTGTCAAATGTCAAGTCGAATCTGATTAAGATGACTTTTTTTTTATTTTTTTATTTTTTTATTTTTTTCCAGGATATTCTGCTTGAAGTTCGATTCTGTGTTTTTGAAAGATCCTGGTTGGCAATAATATATTAAAGCAACGTTGTCACTCTTAAGATGAAACTATTTGTCGTGGGCTCTTTTGTATCTGAAGATACTTGCATTTGCATTCGTGCCACAGTCATATTAACGAGAAGTGAGAAGAGAAAAAGCTCTATGTCGGGTACAATGAACACGCTTCAACCTTCAGAAAGAAAACATTTCCACATTTCTCTTTTCCTCATGCTTCGTGATTCTGTTGTAGGTTGTATGCAATTAAGAAGTACACTATAAAAACTTAAATTTGGAACTTGTTTTGATTCTGTAAAGGGAAGTAAAAGGTAGTTGTAACTTGTGTAGAGCATTATCTGAATGAAGACAATGCATATTAGATTTGTATCTTATTTCAACAATGTGAAAGAAAGTGAAATGTTGAATCTCCATGTTTCAACAAACAGGAGGGCCAAAGTCACGTCCAGGGAGAAGTACCACCAATGCTTTATTCACCAAGTTCTCCTCAAAACGAGCTTTCAAAGGGAAAAGATGGATGAACAAGCGAAATTAAGTTGTGCTTGTTTCATCCCTACATCGACTGACTGTTTCCCAGGCTGAAACAATCATCGCTAACCTCGTGCTCCTAAGGGAAATAGTGAATGCACTACTTCTCAGTGCACTTGGACGGATTTCTCGCACACATCTTGCAAACGGATAGAACTTAGTAAAAGAATGAGTGCTTGCTCTCGTTGGATTTGGCTCTTCAGTGTGCAAAAGAGGAGCTATACAAGGAATTTGATCCTAATTATTCGACGTTACAAGTACTACTTCGATATCTCATTTTTTTAGTTCGTTTCCACACAGTATTTGTGAATCACTACCATTTTTGTTCATTTCTTACAACTTTTCATTTCCAAAAAGAATTATTTCTACTTAAAAAATAGCTTTTCTTTATTATTGGAAAAAAAAAACACACACACACAAAAGCTCCTACCGTATCCATGTGCTTTGTTTGCTTATCATTTATTTACCATTGGTGGAATCGCACGTTTGGTTGGGAACAAAAACCCCATTTACCAAAGTAAAAAGGTCAAAGATGGTGACTTTATATAAATTCTCGAGTCAAGAGAATCTGAAATGTTCGCACTTTTAGAGCAGCGGCTGCGGTTAAAATAAGTCCCGATAGGGTTTGCTCTTCAGGTTTTCACTTTCTTAGCTTTCCTCACCGTTTCTCAGCTGCCAATCACAATTTTATCATCCACCAACCACCAAATCTGATCACACTCTTCTGGGTCCATCCGATCCCAGAAGCTCACATCAGGTACTTCAGCTTCTGAATTTCTGACATCCTTACCATCTATTTTTTTCTGTCAAACGACTTACCATCTGTTTGTTTGCCGAGAAAACACAGAAAAGAATATAGAGGAATTTTTTGTTATAAGAAAAAAAAAATCAGATCTTACCCTTTGATTTTTTAGGTCTAAAGGTCTTACTCTTTCGATTTAGATCCGCATCCATTTTCATGTAAATAAAACATAAGTAATTGAAAAATCGTTTTTATTTTTGATTTTATTGACACAAGGGTAAGAACATGCATGAGATTTTATCCGCTTTGATTTGTTGTTTCTGACTAATATAGAGGAAATTTTTTTATATATATAAAAATAAATAAAATAAAAAATAAAAACCAGATCTTACCATGTAAGTTTTTAGGTCAAAAGGTCTTACTCTTTCGATTTAGATCCGCATCCATTTTCATGTAAATAAAACATAAGTCATTGAAAAATCGTTTTTATATTTTATTTTATTGATACAAGGGTAAGAACATGCATGCGCTTTTATCTGCTTTGATTTGTTGTTTCTGACTCAGATGAAACATAATTTATTGAATTTTTTTTATATGAATTATTAAGTACGAAAGCTTAAGCTGTCTTTAAATTTACAACATTGTTACCATGTTTTTAGGGATGTGTTTGAAGTCCTTGAGGTCAAGGGGCAAAGAAAATGTTAGAGATAGGATCAGCGAATTACCAGACGCGTTGCTTTTGCACATACTTTCGTTCCTCGAAACAAAATGTTGTGTGAATACCGGCGCTTTGTCTAGAAGATGGAGGAATGTATGGGCTTCTATTCCTAATATAGACATCCGCCGTGGGCATTTCTCTCGCTCCGGTGACCTTTTTAATTTCGTTGAGCGTGTACTTTCCTTTCATGATACATCAGACATCCAAAAATTCCGTCTTCACTGTTTGTGTGACGACGTCATCAGATTCTCTCATATTGATCGTTGGGTTCGCAATGTTGTTAGGCATAATGTTGTTGAACTTGATCTTTCCGTTGAACTTAGTGTTTTGGCTGATTCATATCAAGGCCAAACCTTCGAGTTGCCTGAAAGCGTATTCACGTGCAAAACCCTAAGGGTTCTGGAATTGGGTTCAAATTTTATTACCAATGTTCCCGCATCAGGGAGTTTTCCGAATCTCAAGTTCCTTCGGGTTGTACTTGAAGAGCCTACTAATGACTCAATCTGTAAGCTTTTCTCGAGCTGCCCTGTACTTGAAGATCTAGCAATAGAAGGTTCTCATCGATATGGTGTAGTTTTCAATTTCAAAATCATTGCTCCTGAATTGAGGAGGTTAAGGATAAGTCTGGACTATGATGATTTTGATAAAGATGGGGACATTTTTTTTATTTTCGCTCCCAAGCTTGAAACGTTTGATCTCAGAGAGGAGGGTTTCTCAAGTTACCATTTGGAGAATGCAAACCATCTCTTCAAAGCCAAGATTTATCTTCCTGAACATTATGCAAGTGCATTAGCACCGTGCTTTGTTGAGCGTGCAAGAAGGCTTCTGGCCGGGATTCACAATGTTAAGCATCTAACCCTTTCAGTTCATCTTTTGGAGGTAAGTATATTATTCTTTATTTGTTCCAAACCTATTGTTTGCGGTTAATGCCCTTTTCTCGTTTTGGAAAATTTATGATTTGAGATATTGTATAGTGCATAACCAAATGTTTAATTTTCTGCAAAAGTTTATCTTTGATCAGTACTCTGTCTTTCATGAAGCCTGGCCTTCTGCCCGCTTTTGATTATTTGAACCACTTGAAGCTGGATCTTTATGAATGCAATCACTGGAATTTGCTAACAGAGTTGCTCAAGAGATCACCAAAGCTGGAATATCTTGTCATACAACTTTATGATGTAAGCTTTATCTCCTCGTCTGCTACGTAATACCAGCATGTTGCTCTTAATGACTCTCTTTTGATTCTTTCCTCAAATAACTGTCAGGGTTTAATCTGCGACGAAGATTATGGACACCTGGAGCATGGATGGAATCCACCAGCTTTTGTGCCTGTCTGCTTGTCATCGCACCTCAAGACCATCTCAATATTGCGATTCGAGGGAAGGGAGGATGAGATGGAAGCGGCAAAGTATTTGCTGAAACATGGCGAAGTTTTGAATAGGATGAATATTCTTACCAACTACTTTCAGCCGAAAAAAAAGGAGTTATACAGGGAATTTTGTTGGTTTGAAAGGGGTTCGAAGGCATGCCAAGTGGAATTTGAGCATGATGAGTTCTAGGGATTTTATTCTCCGTTTTAGAAAGGTTCTTTTGGGAAAGAAAACTAAAGCAAACTATGTAGTTCTTCTTAAGATGGTACTGAATAATCTATTTGCATTTTAGTTTCAATATTTTCGTTTGTATTGGTGCCCCTTTCCATAGTAATGTTGTCTGCTTCGTTGGTTTGGGCATTGAGCCCCCTCTCAACCAAAAGAAATGATTTTTGTACACGTTTGTTTCTCCTTACGCACATTCATGTTTAAACTGGTCCTTTATTGTCTTTTGCTGCACTCGATATAAAGGTCGGCAGATAAACATGAGTGTGCATAAATAGTGTTGTGGAAATTATTTTCTTCTAACGAAATCTTAAAGCTGCAAATGACGATTTTACAAGTAAAATCGCTTTTGACTACATTTGAGTACGATACACAAAAGTACTTTCTAAAGAACTTGCGAAGTGTGTGTTAATGAAGCACTTTCCAATACTTGTGTAGAAAGAAAGTACTTGAAACTTTGATGATTTTCAAGATGTTAGTAAAACTAAAGTACCCTCGAATAGAAGAAAGAAGTACCGAGTTTTGAAACTTTGCAAGGATGGGAGAGCCTGAGACGTTCACGTTCCTGATGTTGTGCGGAAGCTTCAACAAGTGTGAGTGAAAAATAATAAACCCTAGAAACTGATAACAGATAAATGGAACAATACCAACAAGAACACCAAGATTTATACTGGTTCGGCAATGCCTACATCCAGTTTGGAGACGACGGAGTATTTCACTATAATCAATGAGAACATACAATAGTGTTTATCACTCAATTTCCCAAAGACCCGAATAACCCAAGCTCACACACTTACAATAGGAAGAGAAAACCAAAAAAAAATACAAAGCAAGACAATTTGAGAAAATTCTTCTCTATGCCGAATGGCTTCTTTCTATTTTCCTTTCTTCCTTGTTATATTTGAGTTATGCCTACACCTCCTTTTATAGGCCAAGGCCTCTCATCAAGTAATAAAGAATTAGGCATAAGTGCATCTCCCACCTGTAAGTGCATCCAATTTTTATTTCCCACCTGTAAGTGCATCCATTTTTTATTTCCCACATGTAGCATGCCAACCATAAAAGTAGCCGACATCATTTGTTGGTTTTAGACTACTTTGTTTGAGCCAATAATCAACAATCTCCACCTTGGCGCAAACCCTCTAATTAGAACTCCCAATAGTCGTCTCCCACTCCCCCATGGGGCAATCAACAAATTTTACAAATGCCAATCAAGTCTAAGCAGTGCTTAAACTTGAGCAACGAAACTGGCTTTGTTAACATATCCGCAGGATTGTCAGCGGTCCCAATCTCCTGAAGAAGAATATCTCCCTCGTCAATAATCTCACGAAGAAAATGGAACCTCATGTCAATGTGTTTCGTACGTGCATGATGAACTTGATTCTTTGCTAAATGAATAGCACTCTAACTGTCGCAATGAACATCCACATGGTCTTGTTGAACCCCTAAGTCATCAAGCAACCCTTGAAGCCAGATGGCTTCCTTTATAGCTTCTGTTACAGCCATGTATTCTGCCTCAGTAGTTGACAGAGCAATTGTAGATTGCAGAGTCGACCTCCAACTTACTGGACCTCCAGCAATAGTGAATACAAAACATGTAGTGGATATACGCTTGTCCAAATCACCTGTGTAATCAGAATCCACATATCCAACAACACATTGACCAGTAATTTTATCCTGCTGGAACAATAAACCAACATCCACAGTACCCAGAATATACCGTAGAATCCATTTCACAGCTTCCCAATGCCCTTTTCCTGGATTATGCATATATCTACTAACAATACTAACAGCTTGTGAAATATCAGGCCTAGTACACATCATAGCATACATCAAACTACCAACAACATTTGCATAAGGAATTTGAGCCATGTACTGACTCTCTTCAACAGTTTTAGGAGACATAGAAGCACTAAGTTTGAAATGAGGGGCAAGAGGTGTACTAACCGGTTTTGAATTTTCATTCATCCTGAAACGTTGTAGTACCTTCTTCAAATACTGCTTCTGACACAAACTAATCTTGCCCTTCGGTCTATCTCTTTCAATTTCCATACCTAGTATCTTCCGAGCTTCTCCCAAGTCCTTCATCTCAAATTCATTTCTCAGTTGAGTCTTCAACCTTTCAATCTCCACTTTGCTCTTACATGCTATAAGCATATCATCAACATATAAAAGCAGATAAACGAAGGTTCCATCTTGTAGTTTGCGAAAGTATACACAATGATCATAGTGACTTCTTGTGTACTTTTGCCCGATCATAAATCGATCAAATCGCTTGTACCATTGTCTTGGAGACTGCTTCAAGCCATACAATGATTTTTCCAATTTGCAAACCCAATTTTCCTTTCCAGCAACCTTAAAACCTTCTGGCTGAGACATAAAAATCTCTTCCTCCAAATCACCATGTAAGAACGCAGTCTTGACATCAAGTTGGGCCAACTCAAGATCAAACTGCACAACCAAAGCCAACAGAATACGAATAGAAGAATGTTTTACTACAGGAGAAAATACCTCATTGTAGTCAATGTCTTCTTTCTGAGCATAGCCTTTAGCTACCAATCTGGCTTTGAATCTTACATTGTCTTTTCCCAAAGATTCCATCTTTTTGGCATACACCCATTTACAACCAATTTCTTTCTTCCCCTTTAGTAACTGAACCAGCTTCCAAGTCTTATTTTTATGAAGAGATTTCATCTCCTCATCCATAGATTTCTTCCACAACTCGTACTCTGAACTCATGACAGCTTCTTTGTAGGTGGATGGAATATCATCTTCAATAACGGGAAGTGCATATGCCACAATATCAGTAAATCGAACAGGCTTTCAAATTTCCCTTCTCGATCTTCTGGTTGCAATATAGTCTTGTTGCTGTGGAGGCTCTTGTGTAGGTGCCTCTACTTCATCATCCACGTCTTCATCATCAGAATTAACTGTAGGGCTAGGGTTTGTAACATCGGACCTTACTGGGACAGCTGGAGTCTTCAGTAACTCCACCTGCTTTGTGTTGCTCATGATCTTGGTTGCTTTAGTTTCACCTTCATGCTTGTTCTGATTAACCATAGCAGCCTCATCAAAGGTCACATCTCTGCTTACAACAAATTTCTTCTCATCTGGACACAAGAGTCGGTATCCCTTCACGCCAGTGCTAAAGCCCATAAATAGAGCTTTCTTTGCTCTTGGATCCAACTTGCTTTCTCTGACATGATAGTAAGCAGGACAACCAAATATGTGTAAGAACTTGTAATCAGTACAAGGTTTATTAGACCATACCTCCATGGGCGTTTTGCCCTCGTTTGCAGCAGCTGGCAATCGATTAATGATATGGCTTGCATAAGTGATTGCCTCAGCCCAAAATGCCTTGCTTAAACCAGCATTAGATAACATGCACCGGACTTTCTCAAGCAACGTACGGTTCATGCGCTCCGCCACTCCATTTTGTTGTGGTGTCTCCTTAACCGTAAAGTGCCTCACGATACCCTCATCTTGACAGACTTTCAAGAAAGGACCAGACTTATATTCACCCCCATTGTCTAATCTGAGAGTCTTGATCTTTCGATTGCTTTGAGTTTCAATCATCTTTTTCCACTTCAGGAATATTTTCAAGACTTCATCTTTACGCTTCATGGTGTACACCCATATTCTTCTAGAGAAGTCATCAACAAAGGAGACAAAATAATGGCTACCTCCCCAAGATGCATTCTTGGAAGGTCCCCAAACATCAGTGTGAACATAATCAAGAATGTTTTTAGTGTGGTGAATAGCAGTGCCAAATTTTACCCTAGTTTGCTTACCAAACACACAATGCTCACAGAATTCCAATTTGCATACCTTTGCACCTTTCAACAAACCTTGCTTCACCAATCCTTGCAACGCTTTTTCACCAGCATGCCCTAGACGCATATGCCATAACCTTGTGGTGTCTGTGCTATCGTCAATAGCTTCGGTTATGGCTGCTCCACCAATAATTGTACTTCCCTGCAAGAAATACAAGTTATTTCGTCTTATACCTTTCATCACCACCAGTGCCCCGTACACAGCTTTAAGAACTCCACTCTTCATGGTGATCTTAAGACCCTTGGATTCCAAAGCTCCCAGAGAGATAAGGTTTTTCTTCATATCCGGTATATACCGAACATCACTTAATTCTCTGACTGTTCCATCATGCATCTTCAAACAGATTTTGCCTATCCCTTGTGTTTTGCAGGCATTATCATTACCCATCAAAACAACTCCACCATCCAGCTCCTCGAAGCTAGAAAACCATTCTCGAATGGGACATATATGATAGGTGCAACCTGAATCCAAAATCCACTCCTTGGAGTGACCATTAGTAGATGAACTAGCCAAAGCAAACTTGAGATCATTATCTCCTTGGTTTACAATATTTGCTTCAGGGCCCGCTTTCTCCTTCTCTTTGTTCTTCAATTTGGGGCAATCTCTCTTCCAATGACCCTTTTGGCGGCAAAAGGCACATTCATCTTTAGCAAGAAACTTCCCTTGTGACTTTGAACGAGATTTTCCCCGTTTCACATATTTTCTTTCCACTGTTCGACCCCTTGCAACAAGTGCCTCGGTTTGTGAATTGTGAGTCTTTAGTTCCTTCTTACGACACTCATGATTCACCAATGCCGCAGACACCTCATCAAGTTTCACCTCGGTTTTTCCATACAACAAGGTAGTTGTCAAATGATCATAATCATCAGGCAATGAATTTAACAAACATAATGCCTTGTCCTCGTCAGGAATTTTCACATCAAGGTTTGCTAAATCAGCAAGTATTTTATTATAATCATTTAGGTGTTCATGCATAGAAATACCTGGACTATACTGAAAACGGAAGAGTCGTTTCTTCAGGAAGAGCCGATTTTCTGCGCTCTTGGTCATATACTTTTCCTCCAATTTTGTCCATAACTCCTTGGCAGAAGTTTCCTTCATATACGGGTATTTCAACTCCTTGTCAAGAA